AAAAAAAAAGTTGGCATTGACTCAATGGCAAGTTGCTTGTTTTTTAATAAGGCGTAGTCATTTCACTGTTGGCCCACTAAAGCCGGTGGTTCGAACTCGTCAGTGGCTTCAAGGAAGAGAGATGAGGCTGTGTACTCACATAAAGAGTTAGTCTTGGAAACCAACAGGGTTGCTATGAGTTGAACTTAATTCCATCTGTTAGTGGGTTTAAGTGCCAAATAGGGACCAGAGTTGAGCTACATCCATTTGGCAGCAGTGCTTCTATTGGCCACCGGGTGGCAATAATGTTCCAAAATTCTGGACTTGCAGGGGCGCTGTGCTGGGGAAGCAGGTGGACAGCAGAGGGCAGCCTCTCCCGGCCCTGGCACAGTGTTGACGGCTGGGCTTCACAGAGGAGGAAGAGGAACCATGGCCATACTGGGGGCTTACAGTGCAGTTGCCTGGGCAGACTGAGGATCCGGGCTAGAGTGTGTTCTCTTATTTCCCACCCCTGTCACTTTAAGGTAGTGAGAACAGTTATCAATCAACCTACTGCCACGGAGTCCGTTCTGATTCATGGCGACCCTATCTACATAGGGTGTCCGAGACTGTGAATCTTAACAGGAACAGCCTGGGCGGCGGGTGGGTTTGAATCCTTGACCTTGAGGTTAGCTACTCAACAATGCCTTCAGGGCTCCTTAATGATAATGGTTAGCCCTTCTGTTCTTTTTTTTCTCTTTTCTTTTGTAACTGGCATTTTATTGGTTGTTTTGAGATCAGTACAGAGTAGACCTTCTGTTCTTGAAAGCTCTTTCAACCACAGAAGCATACGCTCTCGCAACCACTTATTTCCCTGTGAGCTCAGTATGAAGGCAGGCCAGACGGGCAACTTTTTTCCCCATTTCTAGATTTAAAAAAATCACTTTATTGGGGGCTCGTACAGCTCTGATCACAATCCATCCATCCATCCAGTGTGTCAAGCACATTTGTACATATGTTGCCATCATTTTCAAAACATTTTCTTCCTATTCCAGCCCTCGGATCAGCTTGTTTCACCCACCCCCCCCTTGCCCCAGGCGGGCAACATTTTAATTTCTCCCTTATGAACCAGGAAAACACTGCTCACTGGCTGAGTGCCCTTAGTGAGCCAAGGGTGCTTCCTTGATCTTGGAGAGGGCAGTGGCCGGACAGAAGGGATGGTCTGAGAGAGGGGCAGTGTGTGACTCAGAGAGCCCTGTCAGCAGGCCTCAGAGGAAAGGCCACATCAGGAGTGAGTAAGGATACCGAAAGGAGCGGGAGGTGTGCAAACAGAGCTGGCAGGACATGAGGGAGGCGCAGCGCTGGCCATGGGCGAGATAAGTGGGCTCGGGCCTCCGGCTCCCAGGCTGGTGGCCGACGTGGCTAGAAACCAGGGGTCTGCCTCAGGCTGCCGGCACTCTGCTCCTCAGGGCAAAGGAGGGGACACTGGACAGGAACAGGTGGGGAAGGAAGTGCCCCTCAAGGGTGGGGGGCTTCTTGGGTTTGGGGGAATTGTTCAGAAGGGGGAAGGAGCCCTCCTTCTTCAGCAGGATCACTTCCCCTTTGCCAAAGGAGCCCTGGGGGCATAGTGGTTACAAGATAGGCAGCTGACCTCGAGGTCAGCAGTCCTCAGGGGAAAGACAAGGCTCTCGACTGCTGTCAAGAGTTACAGTCTGGGAAGCCACAGGGGCTGTCCTGCCGGGGTCCCTGGGGGTCAGCATCGAGTCCATGGCTGTGACGTTTCTGGGGTTGTTGTTTAAAGGGGTGTTGGTGGGGTGACCTCTAAGGGCTTGGTTAAATGGAAAGGTTGGTGCTTCACCAAACTCACTCGGAATGCTCGGGACAAAGCCGGTGATGTGCTCTGCGAAGGAGGACAAGCTAGACCTCCCTGGGGACGGTCTACTCTGACACGGCACAGTCCCGAGTCAGAATTGCTTGTGGGCCCATCCTAACAACCATCGGCGAGGATGAACTAGCAGTGTATAATCTCTTAACAACCATCGGCGAGGATGAACTAGCAGTGTATGATCTCCTAACAACCATCGGTGTGGATGAACTAGCAGTGTATGATCTCCTAACAACCATTGGTGTGGATGTACTAGCAGTGTATGATCTCCGTGACGTTGTAGCCAGGCCTGCACAACAACCAGCCC